TAAGCGTACTTGCTACTTGTGCAAAGAGAAGAGCAAGAGTATATAATCACTACTCGGTACTCACTACAATACTGACGTATTATAGAGTAGAGTAGTGATAATATATTAGTCCATATACAATAGATTAGTCCATAGACTTAGAATATTCTATTATTATTCAGGCTCAGAAGTGCTAGAATATTTATACGTGGTAGAGCCATGGTGCAGCTATATTAGTAGTATAGTTGTATCACGAATGGGTCGGCTCGACCGAGGAAGGACCACGCTCTCACAGAATACCAGCGTAAAATAGCAGATTAATGCTGCTGTGTTTCGTATGATGAGTGTAGAGAACCGGAGACCCGTTTTACTGGAAAAGAGGCATTCTATCTTAAGTCCTCACGTCTGACAACGCATCTGCACTTTAATTCGCAAACGAAGATAGATGTAGATGTCTATGGGCCACAGCAACCACTTACCATCAGGTGGACTGTGTGCTCGTTTTTCACCCTTATTCTATAAAAAAAAATATACTGACGACCTGGCAGCAAGAAAACGCGTGACTAATTTTCATTTGTCATTGTATGCGTTAGCTAGTGATGTACATTTTGCTTACTAGGAAAATCGAAAAATGACCGTTAAGGAAGCGGTAAAAAGTAAAAAAAAAATTAGTGCACAAAATTGAATAATTTCAAAAATTAACTGAATTTTTACCAGGATAGTTTTAAAATATTAAAAAAAAAATCATATAAAATGTTCCTGGGAATAAGCTGAACCTACCTGCCTTTTGTTGGATTTTAATTCGAATGTATAAAATCCCAGGTGACTGTACTGATAAACTTAAAAAAACTCCCCAAGATTCAGATCGGAAAGTTGTATTTTCGAGCTCTTTGGAGAAAAATATTTACTGTCATGGTATTCTTTTTTGAATTTCTTTTTTGACATATTGTTAATATAAATAAGTAGATACTTAACTAAGTATATACCTATTTATATTTTATATATTTTATAAAATTTTTTGGTGGGGAAATAAAAAACGGGAACACAGAGTACATAATACTTATATTTTTCATATAAGTATTACTTTTAATAATTACAAACATTTAATAATTAATTATTAAATACATTATAGAAGTTTATTTATATATTCGACTTAAATATCAATTTATACTTAATAATTTAAGTAAGGAAACTTGAAGGAATCAGTTAAATAAGATTGCTCTGTTTAAAGGTCAATATGTTTATGAGGCTTTATCATGGTTCATGTTTATATTCATTCACCTGTCCCTGAAAAGTATAAAGTAATAATAAACCTTTTATCATTTTAGCTGCATGAATTTTAAAAACATAATGATCTTAACAGAGTAAAGTACACCAGGTGTCTAAGGATACAGATGCACTTTCTATTCTCTCAATCTCGGTTTGTTAAAAAATAGTCACTCATTCAGGGACTGACCGCAACAAGTGCGACTTAACCTCGCAGTTCTATTGATCCGCGCAGCTATTACTTAACCACGAGTTCCTTTTCTCTACGACTAACGCTGTAAGCGATGAAGACGCTATTTAAACCCTCGGCACAATGTCGTCGGTCATCAAGCATGAATCGGGCATCGAACGTTGTGAGTATCAAATACTATTGATATTATACTATCGCGTCTCATGCGCAGGCGTCTAGTGGCGCTTCAGGAGCATAAATATCTATACCTAATTACGCTATAAGTTTTATCATTGTGACTTGGAAATATATAATCCGAAGCTCCACTCAACCCCTTGGGGAAAATAGCCTGATGCTATGAATATTGTACTATTGTAACAGCGAAGCTGTGCTGTTGCTTAAGTAAGGTTATACATTTGTTTTGGTTGATAAATAGATACTTGGGTTCGTAATGGTTTAAAGAGGATAATCTCAAGATCATCTTTAATGTATTACAGTTTTGTAATGTTTAAAAATCTGTCCCTGTTTTTATATAAAGTTTTGAAGATTACATTTTTGAAGTTTTATTAAAAACTGTATATAATATACAACAAGTACATAATAACAATGTTAATATTTACTGAAACAAATAATGTAAAAATGTTTCCTTTTAATAAAATTGTTTTTATTCTACTTTTTCTTTTACACTTCTCAAGAAAATGTTTACTGAAAATTAGTTCTTCTTTGGATTCATACCATCCCGTCCTATTAACCTTAACCATTTTTTCTAATTATAGCATCCGGAGAGAATCTGTTTGACAAAAGGCAAAATAAAGTTAATTTTTAGAAAGCAAACCGAGGATTTATTTTCTTGTTGTGTGGGCAAGTCTATCGATTCATTATAATCATTCAAGATAAATATCGACATTAATTTTGATATAGTTGAGTCAATCCCTCGCGTAAATGAAAAATATTTTGTATAAAAACGTATTTACCAAATTCATGCAAATTATCAACAACGTGACTTTCTTCTTTGCAAAAAATAAAAATTTACAAAATAATTGAAAATATTCTATATTTTAAATAATTATAACATAAATTTTAACCAAAAATAAACGCGTCATAACATTGAAGATGTCTTGTGAATTTACCTTTAAAAATACAAGATTATTTCTATTATTAACTCCATAGTTATTTACAGAACAGGTAAACATTTTGAAAAAAGTTACTTGGTAAAATAACCACTACTATACTCTAAAAAATTACAAAATGTCCAGAAGTTATTTGTTGCGTGCCGACTTGTGCCGACCTGTTATTCAAATTTTGTTACAGAGTTATGAGATTTGGTATCCTTTTCTATTTTGCATTTTTGCCATAAGGAATTTTCTTCTCCCATGCACATTGCACACTATGTTCACAGCTATGTTGGTCTATACGCCAGTATATTCTAAGTCTATGAGTAGTACATACTTATAGTTTTTTTTACAGGCTCAAAAGGGTTAGAACCCAGAGCCGTAACGCCAGTTAAAAAAAATAGCTTTTTTTTGCGCCCAGAAGCAATTTAAATAGGGCTACCCCGTTACGCGAGGAGGTGGTAAATCCTTTAAGCATACCACGACAGCCGGTCTGTCGTGGTTATGTGGGACTCACTGTGCCTAACTAACCTAACCCTAAGTGTTACCCACTAAAAACCACCTGTGGGACTGGCAATTGGCTGATAAAGCCTCTTTGCTGGATCGGAAGCGACCCTCTTTTGGGAGAAGGGGGCACAGGCGGCTACGGGCCGCTGAGGAGGAGCCTAGTAAAGCAAATTTAAGAAGAGTTAGCCTGAGCTACCGGGAGGCAGTTCAGGCCAGACGTATACTGACCTTATAATTAGATTAAATTAAATTAACTTATAACGAACATAAAAGATTATGATGCTCTGTAAGAGCATAAGAGGAGTCGGTCCTGAGGGGACTGAGCAGTGCGCAATTTGCGTGCTAAAACGGCAATCTCCCCAATGTTGATGTTCCTAATAGCGGAATACACCACATTTAGGTCATCAACCATTGAGGGTTGTGTTTGCTAAATGGCGGAGGACGTCCGCGGAGGGTCGGCCTTTTTAGGGCCCCAGGGAAAGACTGGAGGCTGCAAAGGCTGGGAGAAGCCCAGAGGAAGGCGAAGAAGAGGGGGAGGGCCCCGGGGGTACCTTGGGGGACCCAGTGAGGGTCGAAAGTATCCCTGAGGGGGCTGGGAAAAGCCCTGACGGGGCGTTCTTGACGGGAGGGCCGGGAATGACCTAGCATTGACCGGCGGTGGAGCTAGTTTGTTGGGATGATTGAGAGGAGCGCAGGGCAACCTCTGTAGTTCGCCGGGTGGCTAGTCTGCTGGCATAGGACGTACGCGGATGGGGATACGGCGTTTTGGGGCCGGGGACACTCTCTCGAGCTGTGTGGGTCTAGGCACTTAACGCACCTAGGACGGGCAGAGCAGTTGGCCGCGTTGGCATGCTCATAAAGTTGGCAGCGGTGGCACTGCGCCAGGAACCCGCGCCTGTGTTGGGGCTCAACCCTCACTATCGACAGGCCGCACACTGTGCGTACCTGCCGGAAGATGGCTGAGGCCTCCGGCAGGTTGGTGAGGATCACAAGGGCAAGCGGGAACCTCTTGCCTTTGTTGCTGTGCATTTTGTGCACGGCCTCAACAGGGAATCCTTGGGATTTAAGGTCCTCAAAGATGTCCTCGTTGGAGAGTTCGTAAGGGACACCACGGATCACGGCCCTGACCTTACGCTCTTCCGGAAGAGCGTACGTATGATAAGAGACTCGCTCGGCTGTGAATAGCCTGGTGAGACGACGAAAGTCGTCGATAGAATGGGGGATGATTTTAGTAGCCTCCTCGAGGTTGGTGGCTTGTTCGTATTTTATACCTGCGCTGTAGCAGGTTTTGGAGAGGCGGGTGAATTGAGCCTTGTCTCTTAGAAAGACAGGGGGCGGAACTTGCTTCTTAGCCGGGGTAGGAGCGCAGCGGGAGGCTGGCTTGGACGGCGCGGGGATGTCAAGTGACATTAGTGGGACTTCGGAAATGGCAGTGGGAGCTGCGGGGACAGAGGCAGCTACGGGGGCTACGGGGTTTGAGGGGGCGGCAGAGACCGCCGAAACGAGAGGGATGCGATTTTTCGCGGCGCTTTACGGCCGCGCTTGTTAGAAACTGTGGTGAACTCTGATTCGTCGGATCCGTCTGAGTCAGAAGAACGACTCTGAAGAACCAGTGCCCCGGAGTGTGGACCCGGAGTCGGAGTAGGAGCACTCCATCTCCAGGGGGGCGAAAGAGTTCGACTGTGGGACAGCCGGGCTAGCAGCCACTAAGGCCGCGATGGAGCGGTATTCAACTTATAGTCATATCATACTACTTATAAATATAATGCCTCAGAAGGGCTAGAACCTACACCCGTAGGCAGTTATAAAAAAAATATAATTATAATTGATTTCAAAAACAACAACAAGTATCAAGCAATGTAAAAAGGAAACAGTTTTTAAATTTAAAGTTTTAGTAGGTACTGCCTACTTTACTTTCTTTTATCTTAAATAATTGTTTTGTGATTAATCAGTTTTTACAAGTTATAATGGTATTACGATTATTGTCAAAAGGGAGGTTATTTTTATGGATTATTAGTATAATACTTTTAGTGAGCTTAATTTGTACCTATATAAACAATGTACCAGAAAATAACGACTCTGTAGGTCGCTGCATGTCCGAATTAACGTCGATAAAATATCAACTAAATGGTGAGAACATAATTTTAAAATAAACCCTGTACGGCCCAAGATTTTTTCTCTATCCTTTTTATTATGTCTAAGGCCCTTCATAGAGATCATATTAAAAGTAAAAATAATACCATATTATTAATTAAAATTCAAAAAATTGTTGTTTTAAAGTAAGATCTACAAATATAAGGTTGATTTTATGCATATTTATTCATGACAGCCTATTAAAAGTTGCACATTTTGCCATAGCTGCCATGAAACAATACATGTTTACATTTGCCATAAAATTATAATAAATTAATGTGGTCAATACTTAATACTATTTTACTATTTTCATGTAATTTATTCCATACCTATGTCATATCTATATCAAAGCTAATCCTGGTTTTCAGCTTTAATACTTGAACTAGATATATATATTGCTGGTAATAGCCAACAATTCAGAATGTTAATATTAGCATGATAGGTATTTTTTAAGTTATACTTTATTTCTTTTTAAGCCCAATCTTATCTGTTTATGTAGAGAAATTTTGAAATAAAGAGTTGATTATCACATCATTGTAGCCCTGTACAAGTCCATAGCTGAATGCCACAAAATAGGAGCCTGAGTCACGGCATCCATTTACACTACTCTAGGTACGACTTTCCATTGACGTCTGTCGAGTTAGGGGTTGATATTTTTTTTACAGAAAGGTTACATTATTTGAAGCACACACGCAAAGTTTCGGTTCTTTGACATAAGTTGAATCTAACCTATTTTATTTGGTATCTGCCCTAATAGGTACTGTTAAAATAAAACAAATTTCAATAAGAGATCATTTATTATGGTATCTTTCTTGTTTTTATAAAATGGATTTATATTTACATTATAAATGCAAACATGAAAAAATATAGATATTTTAGAAATTGATTTTTTGTGAATCGATACATCAGCTTATGATTCGAATCGATTTAAAAATCGATCTTTTTCGGAAAGAATTGACATCCCTACTGGCGATGACAATTTCAATACAAAATAGCGTCAGTTTTACGGTAGGAATTGACATAACTATTGCATAAATAATTGATTTTCAATAATTTTTTTCTCAAAAAGTATGCGTTTCCGCATGTTGAAACTTTGCCTGTGTGCTTATAATAATGTGTATCCTTTCTGTAAAAATAATATCAACCTCCAACTCGACAGACATCAATGGAAAGCTAAGCCCTACTCCATTTAGTTCTTTTTTGGATGAAAGATGAACATCAGGTGTGTTCCTTGGAACACACAGTCCACTTGATGGTAAGTGAAAGCCGAGGCACACAGACATCTACATCTATCCTCGATTAAGAATCAAAATTCAGTTGCATTGTCACCCCTGAGGACTATGCCTGGTTTCCAATACCAAGGTCCTCTGGTGCCCTATACTCATCTTAAGAAAGAGCAGCACTAAGCTGCTATTTTACACTGGTATTCATTGCTTGCCGTGTAGTGATGGTTAAGAACATCCACTACCTCATATCTTCCCGTGGGTGTCGTAAAAGGCGACGCACAGGCAGGAGATGGGCAACAGCATCTTCCTGATAACTGCAAAAGTACATTAAAAAAAACTGCGGTTGCCAATCCGCTCGCCAAGCGTGGCAACTATGGCAAAAATGATTAGAGCAACAAAGAGACGGCCCCCAGTCCCCGGCGGCCCCGCTATTCCTGGCTACGGTGGCGACCATGGTAACGGCGGGGTAGGGGGTGCTCAGAATCTCCGGTGGAAGTTCGGTTGCCACCTAAGGCGACTCGACCTGGCAACATATAACGCACGCACACTGAGGACTGACGCTTCTCGTCTCTCGTATCGTGGAGCTGGAAGAAGAGATAGACAAGTTACGCTGGCATATTATAGGATTATCCGAGGTCCGAAGAGAGGGGGAGGACACGGTAATCCTCGAATCCGGCAACTTGCTTTATCACCGGGAGGGCGACCATCTGTCCCAAGGAGATGTCGGATTTATCGTTCACAAGTATCTCGTTAACAACGTTGTAAAGATTGAGAGTGTGTCGACGGGGGTTGCGTACCTTATACTCAGAATCACCGAACGATATTCGCTGAAGGTCATACAGGTTTACGCACCAACCTCGGCACATCCCGATGAGGAGGTGGAGGAAATGTATGAGGATAGTCCCGAAGATAGTCCAAAGTCCCGAAACCTTTCAGCTCTAGTTACAAAACCGTTTTCAGTGCCTAGAAGACTGCAATGAAGTGGACGATATGAATGACAAGCTCGTGGAAACTGTCCATGCGGTTGGAGCTAAGTTCTGCAAGACCCGCCGCAGAAGAACACAAAACCTCTCCGATCACACTCTTAATCTCGTGGCTGTCAGACGGGAGATGAAGCTACATTATTCAACAGATTTGACAGCATACAGGCAACTGAACAGACAGATCTCCAAATGCATGCGGCGGGACTTGCGCAACTTCAATACAGCTTGTATTGAAGAAGCGATCGAGCGGAACCAAGGCTCCAAAGTCTTTGCCAGAGATCTGTCTGCCAGAAAGAGCCAACTGTCAAAGCTGAAGACCGAGTGTGGCAGCATTGTTTCCGGGACACCTGGGATTTTGAGTGAGACCGAGAGGTTCTATGGGCAGCTGTACACGTCATCGTTGGAGCCACACGCAAGTGTGAGTAACGATCCAAGAGCGAGTCTTATCCGACACTATTCCGAAGATATCCCGGGCGTCAGTCCGAGCCAGATTAGAAAGGCTCTCCAGCACCTTAAAAATGGCAAGTCCCCGGGCGAGGATGGAATTACGGCGGAGCTTTTGAAAGCGGGTGGAAAACCGGTACTTGAAGTCCTTCAGAAGCTCTTTAATTCCGTCCTCCATGATGGCACTACTCCGGAGGCGTGGAGCAGAAGTGCGGTGGTCTTGTTCTTCAAGAAAGGCGACAACACTATCTTGAAGAACTACAGACCGATTTCCCTTCTGAGCCGCGTCTACATGCTATTTCCAGAGTCATTACGAATCGTCTCGCACGCAGACTTGACGACTTCCAGCCTCCCGAACAAGCCGGTTTCCGAAAAGGCTTTAGCACCATAGACCATATACATACCCTGCGGCAGATTGTACAGAAGACAGAGGAGCATAATCTGCCACTTTGCCTTGCGTATGTGGACTACGAGAAAGCCTTTGATTCCGTCGAAATTTGGGCGGTACTGCAGTCCCTTCAGCGGTGCCAAGTTGTCGGTATATCGAAGTGCTGAAGTATTTGTACAGTAGAGCTACGATGGCTATACGAGTACAGAATCAGAGTACGAAACCTATCCAACTACAGAGAGGTGTAAGACAAGGCGATCCCCGAAATTCTTCACCGCTGCATTGGAACACGTTTTCAAGCTACTGGACTGGAAAGTATACGGTATTAACATTAATGGCGAGTACATCACTCACCTTCGATTTGCCGACGATATAGTCCTTATGGCAGAATCGCTGGAGGACCTAAGTACTATGCTCAATGACCTCGATAGTGTCTCCCAACGGATAGGTCTTAAGATGAACATGGACAAAACAAAAATCATGTTTAACGTCCATGTCACACCTATGCCGGTAGTTGTTTGGAGCACTAAGCTCGAAGTTGTTGACGAGTATGTTTACCTGGGACAAATAGTCCGACTAGGTAAGTCCAACTTCGACCGAGAGGTCAATCGACGGATTCAACTCGGCTGGGCAGCGTTCGGGAAACTACGACACATCTTCTCCTTAGACATACCTCAAAACCTGAAAACGAAATTGTGTTGCCAGTGATGACTTACGGATCTGAGACGTGGTCCTTCACTGCTGGCCGTATGAGGAAGCTCAAGGTCGCTCAGCGAGCTATGGAGAGGGCTATGCTCGGGGTGTCTCTGCGTGATAAACTTACAAATGATTATATCCGCAGTAGAACCAGAGTAATCGACATAGCCCAACGGATTAGTAAGCTGAAGTGGCAGTGGGTCGGCCATATAGCTCGAAGAACCGACAACCGATGGGGAAGAAAGGTTCTCGAGTGGCAGCCTCGTACCGGTAGGCGAAATGTAGGGCGACCCCCCACTAGATGGAGTGACGACCTGGTGAGACATGCAGGAAGTCGATGGATGCAGGTGGCTCAGGACCGTGCTTTGTGGCATTTCTTGGGGGAGGCCTATGTTCAGCAGTAGACTTGTGAAGGGCTGTAATGATGATAATGATGATTATTAATTGCTACTCGTGCTACAACCATAATATAGCTGCAGTATGTAGTTAAGGTCGACTGTGCGAAGACCGGCATACTAAATTAAAAAAAAAATACAAATGGTCTTAGTTTGGCTATTCTATAACCTTAAATTCAAATTTGGTTAAACTAGATAATAGTATATTTAGTTGATCTGATAATAAATATGTCAAAATGACAAAAAGACCACCGGTTCAGAAAATAATCAACATTTTTGAAAACACAGTGAAATAGACGGATTTGGCTCCCATGTCGGTTAAGGCGCAGGTTGAGCAAAAAGTCGCGCCAGTCGTTATTTGGGCGGTTTTTAGAAGCTATCTACTTTTTATTTATAAGATATATCAACAAATAAAAAACACATTATATTTCTACATAATCTTGATTCCATAAAAGCTTTATCCAATTTTTTTTTAATCGAATAAATATTAATATAATCTCCTTACAACGAAACCACATAAATGTGAAATTGTTATTGATAACATGGATCTCCTCGTAAAGTAAGTATTATTTTATTTTGCGATTTACACCAATGGATAGGCAATTTATTAATAAACATTTCTATAGTAAATTTTTTTTCAAAAGACCAAAATTTGATTTTATTAAGAAATTATTTTAAAATCTGGGCATATTCACTGCTCACGGGCTTGCTTAGTCAGTGAGCCCTGAGCTCTTCGACGCGAAGCCCGTGTCGTTAGAGCGTCGACCAGCGCCGCATACACTCACGTAATATCAGTCGATAAATAATATTACTTATTAGGTTATTTATAGGTAGTATTATTTGTTTGTTTTGGGTATAATTTTTC